CAAAACATCTGTTAGTTATGATTTCTCTCTTAAAACACATTTTAAAAAGGTTATTTCCACTTTGTTATTCTAAAGTTTACACCTTTTTAACTTTAATGTCTAAAAGTTTTTCGACACTTTGATACCCTCAAGTTTACATATTTTTAACTTTGATCCCCTAAAGTTTTTCTAGCATATTTGCTGTGACAAAGCTTATATCTTTTTCAATCTAATATCCCAAAGTTTTGTTTTTAACACTTTGATACCCTCAAACTTTAGGGTCTCATGGTAAAAAAAATGTATAAACTTTGAGGTATCAGAGTTTAAAAAATGTTTAATCTTTGGAATATGAAAGTTAAAAATTGTGTGCACTTTGTGTCAAAATTAAGTTTGGATATCATAGTTTTAAAAATGTTAACTTTAGGGTATCAAAGTGACAAAAAGATTTGGAGTATAAAAGTTTAATAAGGTGTAAATTTTAAAGTGCTAAATTACAAATAACCCTAAAAGAACATTGAGATTCGAGGAATTAATATGGAGTTACTGAAGATATGAGGGACTAATACTGAATAACCCGTAATTTTTTTGTATCAATCCGTTTCGTTTATTGCACAAAAGGAGAGGGTCTCGTCCTTGCATGCTAGATTGTTAATAATTAGTTTGTATACTTACCGTCAACTTGTTGGTGCGTTTTCCATCAACCATTCCAAGTTTCAGTGTTCACATGAAATGTCAATGATGATTGACACTTGTCAATTGTCACCCAAAAATGATTCGATAATAAAAATAATAATAGTATAGTAGTCCATTTCCATCTAATTCATGTGCTCGTCCTCTCTGACGGGGCCACGTCTCCACCCAGTGATGAGACACTTCTCATCCCATTTGATAGACTTTCCTCAAAATCCAATTTAGGTGGATCCCAAGTTAATTACTTACTTCGCTCACTTCACAAGGATCTCAAGATGAACTCGATTCCATTTCCACCACCCAAAAAGAAGCAAAGGAGGCCTACAACCTCATTTAAAAAAAAAAAAAAATTCAACCTTAGCTGGTTGTTATCCAATTTACTACACTTCTATTACAAAACTACTTCCAGCTCATGTGCGCAAATTCGTTCTCTGTGTAGACACAGGTTGGCAAAAGAATCTACAATCCACTCGTTCGATCCCTTTCTCTCCCGTACCCAATTTCTTATCCCCTCTAAATCCACTAACCCGGCTTTATGTAATTATATGTTATTAGAAATCAAATAATAATTAGTCCATTATAATAGAAATCATATATTCATAATAAATCTTGCTGTTAAAATATAAAATTATAATCCCCACGCTTCACAACTTTGAGTTTTGTTATAATATAATGAGATTTTTGGCATGGTATTAGAGTGATATCCATATTCAAATCCAACGAGCAAAGCATTTTTAAAAAATAGATCGATCAATGTGTGAATCTAGGTCTCGACCCGTATAAAAGGATTCAACCTGCAAAGACATGTTAAAGTATGAAATTATAGGATTAATTGCGAATAGACTCTCTTTAGTATCGCCCAATTATGGATACACTCTCTATAGTTCTATTGGTGCGGATAGACTCATGTATTTGCCC